CCACGCATATTGAAGCAAAATTTGAGTTTTGGTTATAAATTAGTTATATCTGATAGAGGACACTTAAAATGATATGTATACATTTATGTAATATGATGTAGTGAATCGTAAGCAATAAAAAGCTCAAACGTGATTTTTGTGCTAATACGTTGTTTTGCATTTAAGTTGACACTACTCTTTATATAAAGTCAGCTTCAAATACTAAATAACTGTTTTTATACACTTGTGTGCTTGTATGTTTGCATTTCAGTTAAATTGGAAAATTTTCAATAATCAATTGCGCATAAGACATTTGTAGCGCTACATATGTATTTGTATACATATATATACACACACATATATAAATACCTACATATACACGATAGTGCTTAAAATCTACATCTTCGCCTACTCATACACATACATCGTATACGAGAGCACACACGGCTGGCAAATTTATGTCCTGCATTCACAAAAAAAAAAAAACCAATATGTTCGGCATAATTCGGCACAGCATTTATACAACCAATTTACCAATATTACAATAATAAAAATATATCTTGGACTCACCAGTTTCATTGTCCACGGTGAAGGGTATACCAACCCATTCATCATCGATATCGCCAGCATCATCGTTATCTTTGCCCTCAAAGCTTGGCTACATGAAGGTAATAAATGAAAAATTAGTAAAAAAATTAAAAAAATTATTTTAGAAATTGCAGAAAAAAACATGGAAAATGTCGCGAGTTTGCTGTTGGTCCGTCAACATTTTTTTGGTTTTATTTTAGTATTTTTTTTTTTTTTGCTTTGTTGCAGGCGCTTAATGCCTCCTCGTTCACCTTGCGCTTCAGTACATAGGTATGCCCTCTATTCGTATAGGTATAGTATTTAGACTTCGTTGAATTTATAAGATTGCGTGACTTCTTCACGAATCCTTTTAAAATGGGCTCGAACCAACACATCTTTTTTGTCAAATGCCTTTAAACACTCACTATATATTAGCTACAAGCATATATGAGCAATATATTTACAACTAAACTCCCGAAATTTCACATTGAATCTGAATGGATTTGGTCCATAACATCTAAGTTTTAATAACTGCAAATTACTTTCAATCTATTCTCATTGATTTGAGCGCATTTTATGTGAAGATAAGCGCACTTTGGCGCTCAGCCCTCACTTTGTTTGGCGTGTGTTTTGTGTATGTGTGTGTGCCTGAGCGCCCACCCAGTTTAGCGTTGCGGAATTAAGAGAGTTTCTGTATTAAATTTAAGTCGATCTCAGAGTATTTTTTTTTTTTTTTTATTTTATTTTTTTTATTTTTTTTTTTTTTT